ACTCGGATACCAGACCACTCACTATTCCAGGTTATACATTTTTTCACGAGCCGCGTCGCAGTAGGGGTGGTGGCGTCGGTGCTTACATTCGATGTGAACTGCATGCTCGAGTTCTTCAGCATCCAGTTGGCGATTTGGAGCAACAATGGCTCAAGTTGAAACTCAAACACAGCACAATAATTGTAGGAATTAGTTATCGACCCGAAGCGATCAGTCGTGGGACTGCTGTTGAATGTTTGAATAATTCTCTAGAGCTGTTTTCTCCACAGTGTGATTTCTTATTTTTGGTGGGAGACCTTAATATCAATTGTTTAGACGAGAATAGTCATATTTATCTGCCTCAGTGCCTAGCCAATCTCACTGACCCTTATAAACTTATACAAGTTGTTAATTTGCCGACTCGTATAACGGACAAGTCTGAAAGCCTGATTGATCTAATTTTTTCTCGTGATCAACTGAAACCAATTAATATATCAGTAATACATAACGATGACTTGAGCGACCATGGTATGGTCTTGGCGGAATACCCAATAAAGCCAGAGAAATTTCACCCTAGGTATGTCACTAGTAGACCTATACGAGACAACGCTAAAGTGATATCTGAAGCAGCTATGTATACACCATGGGAATTTGTATCTTTGTATAGCGATGTCAACGATATGGTATTGGTCTTTAATGCCCTCATTATTGATTTGTTTGACACATTTGCACCAATTCGTAAGCGTAAAATTAAAAATCCTCCCTGTCCTTGGTTGACGGAAACTCTTTTGCAAATAAGAAAGACTCGCGATCGTGCTTGTCAAAAGGCAAAGGTAATCAAGTCGGATTCGGCTAAGCAGTTCTATCGGGATCTACGTAATCAGTATAATTGCGCTATTAAACGGGAAAAGCAAGCATATTTTACTCAGTTTGTTAATAACAATAGGAACAAGCCTGCGAGTATGTGGCGCCATCTTAAGAATATCGTTAAGCCTAAACAAGCGAGTGTGATCCCGTTATCCCTTCGTGATCCAGAAACACTAAACAAATATTTTATTGATAGTATACCTGCGCTACCTACAGACGTAGATGAGTTAAATAAGATCAGGTCCAGCAAATGCACTGATCAAGTCTTTAAATTTCAAATTGTTACTGAATCAACAATCGAACATATTATTAATAAAAAATGTACAGAATCGCAGGGAGATGATGGCATTTCGATGTATATGATACAATTGACATTGCCTTATTCGTTGCCCGCTTTGCTGACCATCATAAATAAATCATTACAGGACGGTACTTTTGCCGAGGTTTGGAAATGCGCTTTAATAACTCCAATTCCAAAAAGGTCAAAGATTGAAAACGCTGGTGACCTGAGGCCAATTAATATATTACCAGCCCTATCGAAAATAGTTGAAAAGTGCGTTCAAATTCAAGTTAATGAGTTTATTAATACTGCAAAGATATTACCTCTCTTGCAGTCGGGATTTCGCCCTAACCACAGCACCACTACAGCACTGCTTAATATAACTGATGATATATTATCTGCTTCCGATCAGGGGTTAGGTACGGTCTTGGTGTTGCTGGACTTTACCCGCGCATTTGACTGTGTAAATCTGGAACTTTTAATGGCTAAACTAAAGCACTTTGGTTTTGATGATACGGTTTGTAACTGGTTTAGCTCATACTTTTCGGGTCGTTCTCAAAAAGTTCAATGTTTGAAAGACGACGGCAGTTTTGACGTTTCAGAACCTTTAGCTATAACGAAAGGCGTAGTACAGGGCTCTATTTTGGGTCCTACACTCTATTCTCTATACTCAGCCAGTATTACAGAGGTAATTGCTCACTGTCGTTACCACCTCTATGCAGACGATACACAGCTCTATGTTCATACCAGTCCAACGGACATGTTGCCTGCCGTGTCTGGATTAAATAGGGATCTGTGCGCTATAGTAGAGTGGTCTCGGAAGCATTCTTTAGTTCTCAATCCTTCAAAGAGCACGTCAATCACATTTGGTACTCGACAACAAGTAACATCAATGAAGCAGAATGATATGAGTATTTGTATTAATGATGTGCCAATACCACGAGAAGATTGTGTACGTAATCTTGGTCTCTATATGGACGAACATCTCAGATTTGAAAATCATGTTAAACGAAAGGTTGCATTGTGCTTTGGATTATTACAGACTTTATATAAGCTACGTAGCTTTTTATGTAATCCTGTTAAGCAACAATTATGTAATAGTCTAATATTGTCACACTTGCATTATTGCGATATTGTGTATGGCCCTTGCCTTTATAAAAAGACCAAAAATCAAATACAAAGGATCCAGAACGCTTGCATGCGATTTTGCTTCCCTATACAGAGTAGAGATCATATCACCCCTCATTTAGTGCAAAATAAAATTCTGAATATGGGTGGACTCCGGAATTTGAAGTATGCCTGTTTTTTACTGTCATTATTCAAAACAACCTTACCACCATATTTACATAAAAAACTTCAATGGAAGAAACGTCGTTCAAATTTGAGAGACCTTGGGCTTTGCCTATCACTACCAAAATGCAAAAATATTGTAACTAGGGGTTGCTTTGTATATGCCGCATCAAAGATATGGAATGATCTCCCACCACCTTTGCGGACTAACATTTCAATGTCAACATATAATTTTAAAAATAAATGTAAATTGTGGTTATTACATAAACAGTATACTGCGGCCAAAACTGTATTTAATTTAGATATTTAATAATAGTTGTATTAATATTTTTTAATCGATTTTCAAAGTTTTACTTGTTGGTATCACAAAATGGAGCATGTTTTAGTTAAATAAGGTTGTGGCAGAATATCAGCGACTTCCGATAAAACGGCGGTTTAAGGCTGAGTCACATTCCCTTTTTGTTCCCAAAAAGTTGATATGTTAGATTTTAAGTTTTTGTATTTGTAATTATGTATTTTTGGAGCAAATAAATACTTATTATTATTATTATTATTATTATTAGAACTAGCTTCGCTATTCTCATCCACCAACCTACATTTGGCAGCTGCTACAACACTAAAATATTGTTCTTCAAATTGCTCACGATACTCTAACTGACTAAGCAAATTAATTTCGTCTACCTTGCTTTCTATTTCAATCTGCGTTACATTAAAACTTTTTAGCAAATTTTCAAAATCCTCTATGCGTAATTGTAATTCGGTTTTATCTTTATCGCTCAATATTTTATCGGAAATTTTATTCAAATGCTTTTCAAACATTGTCAACCGCAACTTTGAAGCAGCCCTCAATCGTTTTAGATCCGCAATGCGATCGGAACTACTTTCGCTCTTACGAGGGGATTTTGGCATTTTTAAACGATCATCGTCACTCATTTTGGTAATTTATAGAAATTAGAAAACACTTACGTGACTGGACGTCGTCAGGAATGCTCGATTGACACGATTCACACTGCAATATGAACAAAGTTGGATATTAGATAATGCACCTCGCAATGGATTAGGATCAGGATAAGAAGGTCTGACCGTTAATTCTCTAGTCTCGTCTTCCAGGTAGCCTGTAGCTCGTCTCGTCTTCTGGATAGACCGTCTCTCGTCGACTCTCTTGAAGGCGCGAAGTCCAATTGTGATCCGTCGAAGAAGAACCAAATGTTCGATAGCTTAATGTCTTCTATATGTGGATTTCTCAATAAAAATCAGATATTCAGATTATAGAATATTATTCATAGTAAAATACAGATCTATTAAAATTAGGTGCGAACGTTGTCTTTTTTGAATTCGAATGCAAGAGGGAGAGTGAATCTATATAAATCAAAATGAGTGAATGTAGTAACGAATGGGTACGAAATGAATGTATGAATGGACGATGACGATGGACCGATTGCAGTTTCTCTCTTCGAAGGATAGATGGCGTTAACAGTAAATATTGCTAAACTATTTTATACCGTTTTAAAATTTCCAGAACAACACGCAGTTTGGGCGTGGTTGTGCTAATTAATACTAGGTAGCTTAATGGTCAGTGCATTCGCTCGGATAGAATGGTGCGGTTTCGAGCCCCGTCTGCTGCCTGGTCCGCGTGGATTTTTTCTAGTAATATTTTCTTTAGATTTCAACATCGAGCAGTTATATGCTTAAAAAATAAAATATATAACTTTTTAATACCATTTTGAAATTTAATAATAACACGGGTTTCCGTGTGGTGTGCTAGTATTCTTTTCAACACGACCATAGTATCTCTTAGATCTTGTTGGTAGTTTTTTTTTAAAGTGGTAAATAATAGTACACAATCTTGACTATTTTTTACCGTTTAAAGAGATTAGAAAAACATCCATGGTCGTGGAAGGAAGTACAACACGCCTCCCCCAAGAATCTTCACACCGAGCGCTGCTGCGCTATTCGCACCCAGAAATTTGAATCCAGAAAAAAAATATTCCAATAGACACAACCCCCTAATTGATGATATCATCCCACACAGCAGGGTCACAAATGCGATGAGCCGAAAATTAAATCGTCAATTGAAATAAAATTCCAAACTACAGAATGAGACTTTATTTTGCCGAAGATTAGCCTACGCTTTGTTCAGTGCTAAGAGCTAAGTTACTCGCTTAGTAATTTGCCATATTGTTTACGTAACTATCGTAGCAGGCCACAAAGCAAGCGACACTTCTAGGTAAGAGACTTGCATAATTCCTAACTTGCCTCAAAGCGTGCTTATAGTGTTTTCTTAAACTAAATGTTATGGACTAAACATGAACAATGATAACTCAAAGCGAACAATGTGATAAATAATTATCTCTTCTCTGACCAAACCTCATCATCAGCAAATACGTTTAAAATACGTCTGGTTATCTTAAATACTAAGGTGTCAATTTTATAGTTTTATATTTATACTGTTTCTACTTACACATATAAATGAATATTACACAAAATTAGTTTCGCCCTTAAATAACTTGCCTTGTTAAATGAAAGTGAAAGCTGTATCTAATTTATCAATAAAACATTAAACCAAGGAAAATTTATAAATTACCTTTACAGATACCAAAGGCGAAGGTGAACCGCTGAAAAAGTCCTCGATCAATTTCTTCTTCCCGATAAGCGGAATTGAGTCAGGGAAATATTTCTCGAAAAATTGTAGAAGTTTCTCCTTCGAGTCTAGTTTTTTGAAATTGGTAAATGGCATGAACAGCGTCACTGTCCACGAACAGTCTTGATTTGGCAGCGCAATCATCATGAATGTACCTCTTGGCCAGATATGCAAATAATTAGCTGGCATCTGAAACTGCAAAGCCCGAAAAAACATGAAAGGAGCTGAAAAGCAGCATCATTGTCTCCGATTCATCAACACCAAAGGTAAGAAAATAAGGAAATGCCTGTATTTTTTTTAATATTGCCAATGGTTTCAACGATTTCAGGATTTTAACTTTAATACCCCTGCCATGACGGATGACAGCGCGGGTCGTGTCATGAGTGAGCAACGCATTTATTATGAATTAATCACCCAACCTTGCTTCGCCTTAGAAGACTACAGTTTAACTTCTTAGGTTTTTGTCACGAAAGATTTATAATGTATAACATAATTATACATTTTATAAAGTTTAATTATCAATGAAATAACAGTTGATAAATTTATTATATTTAAATATATTTTGTGACTGTGACAAAAAAATACCTCTATGAAATATTCAATCAATTATCGTTTTGGTTGTATATTGACAGACGGACAAACAAAAGCTGAGTAATAAGGATCCATTGCCGCGCTTTGGGCACAGAACCAAATTTAAGAAGATGATCGGCCTTAAATTCACTAGTATTATATAAATTAGAAATATATCAAGTTCTGTGTCACGATATTCGTATTTTATTTATGGTCGTAAAATACCCTACTACATTCACTCACCAGCAATTTTGAAATAAATATCCATCATTAGTAACAACACAACTATAGGATAGAACAATGAACAGTACCAATTTCCTTCCAACAGAAAATTAATCATAGAACAAAATGTGTTTAAAAACTAATCATTGAATACTTTTGTCTTGAAAGCAGTTTTGAAGTAAACCTTATCAAGAATGTGTTCAAAACATGTTGGATTTTTAGTGGTTATTTTATGTTTATTTTTTAATAATGGTGTGTCATTGGTTATTTCTACGCAATTTTCAAATACGTCGCTATCTAATGAAGTAGCAGAAAATTTTACGACGCAATGCATCTTAAGAGTAATGCAGAACCGTTTACCCTGCAATACCAGAGTAACAATAGCGTATTTAAAGGATAACATTACTGATTTCATTAAGATTTTGAACCAAAACAACTGCTTTACTGTAATTGTGAGAACCGTTATAGATTACAGCTGGTTTGCTCAAAGCGGAGCATATATAATTTTAATCGAAAATCTATCAGAAATATCAAACTTAATGACCATAACCATACAAAATCTTCACTGGAATCCAAAAGCACCATTTATTGTTTTAACAAACAACTGGTCACAAAGGAAATTAAAAAAAATATTTGATGAACTATTAAGGCATAGAGTTTACTACGCAATTATAGTAAATAAAAATGTGTATGAAGCAGACATATACACATATTTCCCATTCGATAAAGGTAACTGTGGTCGAAAATATGACAAGGTCGAAAAGATAGCGAATTGTAATCAAATCGCTAATAATAACATTTTCCCGAAGGAGGACTTAAGTCTGTTAAGGAATTGTACAGTGAAAGTAACAGTATCTGAAGATGTACCCAATATAATTTTAGAACAAGACATGAAGTCCAACGGGATAACAGTAAGTGGAGTAGAAGACTGCCTGTTGAATACACTTGCTGAGGCTTCAGGAGTTCGTATAATATATGATGTGCATAATATTATGGACAGCTACGGAAATGTATTACCGAATCGTACTGTTACCGGTATACTATCACATATTTATGATAACAAAGCGGATATCGCAGCAGGAGGATTCCTATTAATCAAGAACCGTGCTGACGTATTTGCATTCATAGGTTATAGATTTGCACGCTATCAAATGTTTACTGCTGCGCTTGATGAACCAATATGGAAAAAACTTTATGAAGAGTTTGATGACATAACATGGATTATAATTTTTCTTTTTTTCAGTGTAACTGTAATCATCTGTTCATTTTCACTAAAAATAACATCGCTTCAGGGATTCACCGATGTGATACTTAAATTATGGGGGTTTTTATATATAGGCAATAGTAGCAGCAAACTTTTAAAAAACATTAAGTTGCGCCCTACTCTGGCGTGTTGGATTTGGTTAACATTCTTATTAAGTAATTTTTACACAACAGCACTATATAGTTTAGTAACGGCACGTGTAAAGCAGACAAACTATATTATACCCGAACATCTAGAGAATTTACCTTTAAAGGCTTGCATAAGTGATGCTGTTCAGATATATTTCGTTTTCGCTTATAATCACAGTCTACCCAAAACTGTACCTATTCAGGAATGCAGATATTCAGACACTACATTAGATGTAGTAGCTTCGAAAAAAAATCTTTTTACCTTAGAAATGAGTTACACTTACAGCATAAGGCAAAATGATTTTGTAGATGCGGATGGAAATAATAAACTAGATGCTTGGGATTTTTCAACTTCCGATATCCTCACTTTTTACGTAGCTCGGGGTTTTCCATTGTACCATGATTTCTGGAAAAACTCCATGCATGTGTTTGAGAGCGGAATATTGAATCGTTATCTAGATGTTAAACTATACCAAACAAAATCGGCGATACGCAAGAAAAGATTATTCAAAAAGATTCGATTGCTTGATCTGAAAAATCATTATTTTATATTACTTTTTGGCTTTTTTGCGTCCACGCTGTGTTTTATTATAGAGTTACTATTAAAACGGTTATTTTAATCATAAAAAAATAATGTTACAATATTGAGTAATGGATATGTAAAAAAAAGTGGTTCAAGTAAAGTAAATTTAGGTTTAGAGAATCTTTGAAGAGAGACATGGATTAATTTATAAAAGAACTTACCCCGCCATTCGCGTTAGATGGTATACACAGTTCCAAATAACCATGTTCTATGTACTTCTGGCTGTAGTCGAATAGAGGTTGTTTCATCATCGCTTTGCGAACTGCGGAAAACGCTCCATCAGCGCCGATAACCAAATCAGCGTTTACTTTCACCTCCTCTTTGGTATCTGTCCTGCAACCAGACGGTTAAATTGTATTACTTCTTTTTTTGCTTTAAATTTCATTGACCTATTGCAAATTGCAAGAAGTCTAATAATGGTTTTTTCCGCTCATGTGTTATAGACAAATAGGATTGTGCTATTAAATGTGTAGTATTAGTTTATGTACAAATTCTAAAATATGGCGTTGTTGTTACTTATTCTTAAATGTGGCGTTAGGTTACGCTTTGCAGCTAAGGGTTTTTGTTTGTGTGAATTATGTGAGACTGGTTTTATTCAAAAGTATCTTTTCATATGGCACGCCTATTCTTTGAATTTCTTTCCACCCTAGCCAAGGATAAGATATAAAGCTAATCTAGATGTAGTATAGAAGGTACTAAATTTGAAAAGATATTAACAAAAACATTTAGCCTCATTAATAGTACATACTTACTTTGTAAATGTTAATGAGCCTTTTTTCAAATTTGCTTCAATGAGTTTGTGATTGAAATATCTCTCAACATTCTCATAATTCTCTGATTCTGTAATAAAATTCATGAACATACGTTAATAAATTATTGTTATGTATTTACATAACACTTTGGTATTGGGGACAGTTATATTAATTAAATCAGTAAAACAACACTACCAAGTATTTATAGCCTATGGTGGCTGCGCTATATGCTTTTTGTCACCCTTTTGAACATATGAATAAAGCTTTAAGGGTTTCACGGAGTGGGGATTAGAGTCAGGTATCACAAATGTCTTATAGGCTACGTTGGCCGCTTAAGCGGGCTATTTGCATATTACCTACCATTTTCACACAAAGAGTAATACAATAAATAGATTTATCAAGTATTGGCGTTTCATTCAAGATAAGTGAAAACGACGTACCTTTCAATAGCATGCCATTGAGATAATTTCTCCCGACTGAATAAATGCACTGCAAAGAAAAGTGTTTTTTTTATTCGAATACGATTGTTTAAAAGTAAAATAGGTATATTAAAATATAAATCAGAATTTATATTTGAAACAGTGGTGAAAAGAGCATTCCCCTTAAAGCTCCTTCCTCACCGTTTCGATTCGTTTTCGTTTCTGTACCGAATCTGTACGGATTATTAGTTACCGAGAACCACTTATTGACCGGCTCGGTTTCGGTGCGGTATCGTATCGTTTTATTTGCTACGGTTTTGTTTGCGGGCGTGACGAGACGGACGAGTCGAATAGTTCGGAAGCCCTCGGTAAAAAGAGCTATGTATCCGCTCGGTAAAGAATCTATACAGATTCCCACAGAAAACAAACGAAACGAGCCCGCACCGACCCGGTGAGAAAGGTGACTTAGTACAATAATCAGTTTGAGTAACAGTCAAAAATGTTGACTTAATAGATTGCTACACGATTCTACGATAATTTCCGAAACTACAGAGTACCTACTGGTAATCGGAAACATTTCTTTATCGTGAATTTTAATGATTTGTGCATCAAAGTACGTCACAACGAGAGACGATCACCCAATAAGGTCAAAAGTCACGTTCAACGTGACGAGCGTCATCAGCCTGACGGAGATAGTTTATATTCTGAGGTGATAGGAACCCAGATAAACTAGTGACATAGCTGCTGAACAGTGTGCCTACTGATCGCCTTATGATAATAGAAATCAATCAGAAATCAATATATTTTTATTCAAATAACATATTTTTTAGCTGCGGAGAAAAACGAGCGAAAGAAACTCCACAACATTAAAAGTCTAATGTAACAACATTTACAAATCATTATGTTGTTACAACGTCAATACAATTCTTCATCTTCAAGAATATTATAGCTATTACAATACCTTAAAGAAATAATCTCACCTGGTTCGTCCTCGCATCGTACGGTATCGCATACGTGGTTCCATCTAGTTTGTGGATCATCCTTCCCACCATGGGGATTCCATGGTTTTCGATCATGTGCTGTTCTAGACCAACATCCTTAAGCGCTCTCCTGCCACGTATAGACAGCGCCAAATTTATGGACCTCCCACGAGCTTGCGGAGTTTCCCTAATATCTGAAGAACAAAAAACACAAACACAGTGTTTAGTTACGTTTTGAATACGTACCCGTACTTATGCTAACCAAAAGAAAATGTTTTAAAAGCGAGCACTAGCGTGAAACGAGTGTGTATGCATAAATGAAATTCTCATCATCATCACATACTATTTCTATCCCGTTTCATCCTTACTGTTTACATCTTCCCATTAACTTCCTTCTCCTTTTCCTCCCCTCTGTTTCTTCCCCACCCTTACCTATATCCCTGGCTATATCCCGAATCGACCTCGGCTATGGGTAAGATAATTCGTCCCATCAAACCTTAATTATTAATTCAATACCTTTACCTTTTCAATTAAAATAAAATCAATACCTTTAAACCTTAACCCCCTTAATAATAAGCGAGGAGTAAGCTTAGACTAGTTACACCGTGTTTTGTAAATGTCTTTCAAAATTCATTTGCCATTCAAAGAACAGAGACAAAACATAGAGTAACTAATCCAAGCTTATTCTTCGTCTAATAATAAGAAAGTTTAAGTCTGCAGTCACAAATTAACATACTGAATAATGAGTGCAAATAAAAACAAAAGCAAAGTGCAGAAAATAAGTGTTTCAGTGGGGCCAAATTAGGAGACTTTTATTTAGAAAATTAGCAGTAAAACAGCATTACATTCATTATTTTAGTGCCAGGTGCTAGGAGCGAAAGTAAAACATTGAATGCGTCACCTGCTAACTTTGTTGCATGAGCAGGTAAAACTCATGTCATGAGAAAGAGGAGTTTCTGAATCATAGCACACTAGTGTTTCGGAAATTATCGAAGACTGGTACAGCAATCTATCATTACGTTTCCAAATCTAATTCGTTGGTTTTCAGGCAACAAGCGCCAACGACATTTTGAAGTGTAATTTGCATTTTTAATGTTAAAACGGGTGGCAAACAAGCATTTTGCCCGCCTGATGGTAAGCGGCCACCATAGCCTATGCCTTGACGCTTACGATACAAAAAGTATCACTCGCGCCGTTGCCTTAATAGATTGCTACACGATTCTACGATAATTTCCGAAACTACAATATACCTACTGGTAATCGGAAATTATTCTATCTCGTGAATTTTTGATGTTTTGTGCATCAAAGTACGTCACAACGAGAGACGATCACTCAATAAGGTCAAAAGTCAAAGTACAGCAATCTATCATTACGTTTTCACCTTAGCAGCTCAAACATATTGGGTTCCCTGCTTAATAAGAGGGAGGGTGAGGGTTTTCCCTGCGAGAGTGAGGGAAAGTGATTTGAATTTAGAATGCTGCGAATTACACAAGTCAACAAAATGAAAAAAAATTTTTGAGCCTATTATTTACTTAGATTTAAACAAAAAGGGTAGATACGGCACTAGCCTCACAAAAGTGATCCGCATGAATTGTGAACTTCATAGAATTATAACAAACGAAGCAATCACCTACAATGTGGAGTATTTATTCGATGTTGAAAGCTACAATAAAGACAAAACATAATGTTCATATTGAAACTTATCAAAACTTATTGCATTTTTGAAAAGAAAGTCAGTAGGACACAAATCTAAAATGTCCAAAATTTTTTCAATCTCTAATATTGAAAAATTTCTTAATGAAGCTCCGAACTGCAATTTTCTCGCTGCAAAAGTAAGTTACTACCTATATGTCTATACTTAATCTATATCTATACTTATAATAAATCTGTAGAGAGGTCAATTCTGTACATGAAATATATTTTTAAAATAACTATCAGAGGTGATTAGTGATCGATACTGATGCCAAAAATGCAATCAGTAAAATTTTTGTCTGTCTGTCTGTCTGTGTGTATGTTCCTTATAGAAACAAAAACTACTCGACGGATTTTAACGAAACTTGGTACAATTATTCTTCATACTCCTGGGCAGGTTATAGTATACTTTTCATCATGCTACAATCAATAGGAGCAGAGTAGTGAAGGGAAATGCTGGGAAAACGGGAGAAGTTACTCCATTTTTTAAGCTTCCGTCGCGTGTGCAGCCTTAATGGTTAAAGTTACATAGAAATCATGTATGACGGAAATATTTTCCATAAAACTGTCTAAAAAATATCCCGCAACAGTATATGTCTATCTTTTATGGTTGACTCACAATAACACGTGTAACTCCTGATAGCTTAGCAGTTCGGAGCATTCTGATTATATTTGTTTGCTCTTACGTTTATAATACTCTCACTCATCCCTAATTTAAAAAAAGTAAACATTATTACCTATTCAATAAAAAAAGAATCATAGAAATCGGTATATAAACACCAAACTTATACATGAAATAAGCCATCGCGCCGTCGCACGTGAATACTGAATCATGCTATAAGGATTATTTTTGTGTAACGGTTGGAAACACTGATAATTTTAGAGGTTTTTAATGTAAGGTCGTAAATAAACACAGTTTTTTCCGCTTACATTGTAAACGCTGGCTGAACCCTACGAGATCGATTAAAATAATGTACTACAGTATTGTATACCTTTAAAATGTCTACAAAAAAGTCCGTCATGGTATCTGTCTATCTCTTAGGGATAACCCACAATAACCATTTTATATCCTATACTTTTTACGAGAAATAATAGATTATTTACGAAGCGATTTTCAGCAATATAACGTTCTTCCTTATCCAATTAAGTACCTTAAATACATTGTGCATTTAATATAGACCAATTTGGCTATTTAATGCATGTAATTTAAATGAATATTTTCGAAGATATTACAAATTTAAAATGCAGGGACATAGCGGTTCCGACGCTACCGGGCGGGGCGCCTGGTGGCGCGTGCCTATTGTAATTAGGTATTAGAAGAATGTCATTGTGTATAATACAAGCCTGAGAACAAAAACTATAGTCTACACTACATCTCTACACCGAAGCGAAGCGCGGGCGGGCCACTAGTTAGTAATATATGTGCACGTACGCTAACCATTTTCGCTAATATTTACTAAAATACGAGTTACTTATGTAAAGAAAGTGGGTAAATACTACGTTTTGTTTGTCATACATTTTAATTACTAACATTTTACTTACATAATATTTTTATTACAGGATATCCTCATTATTGGAATAAATGGAGCATGCCGCTCGAACGAACTGCTAAATCGCTAAATCTGACTGTTAATGCCATCGAAAAATTCTGACAAACTGCTATTAGTTAACCTACTAAACCCAACACAAAGACAAACATTGACAGGTCCTTTGTTGTTCGCGACGAATATGTGAAAATTGTCGAGAAATATAAGGCATTACGACCTGATAATACGAAAACAGATCGATTTTTCTTGCAGTATCGTAATGACAAGTGTTCAAGACAGCCTATGGGAATCAATAAAATAGGCGGGACACCACAACAAATAGCCACTTTTTTTAAATTACAAGAGCCTCACCTTTACTCTGGACATTGTTTTAGGCGAACTTCGGCCACGCTTTTGGCTGATTCAGGAGCCAACCTCACAACATTAAAACGTCATGGCGGCTGGAAGTCAAACACGGTCGCGGAAGGATATATTGAAGATTCGATCGAACATAAGTCTAAAACCTGTAAACGCATAATACAAAGCATAAACTTTAAACCTGATCCTTGTGCACACCCGCGCCCCTCTACTTCCAAAGACACAAATATCATTGAAAATTCGGTAAGAAGCCGCACCGAGTCGCCTACGTTTACTAATAGTATTGTCTCGTCACAGTCCAATAAAGAAATAGAAACGAACTCGAGTCAAAGTCAAATCGCAAACTCCACGGTATCACTTCCTAATAAAACTATAAATTTTCAAAATATAACTTTTAATAACTGCAATTTTAAATTTTAGTAGATACTTATTGTTTGCAAATATATGTGGTTTCATTTTTATTCATATTGTATCTTTTTATCTCTAATAATGTTCTCGCTGCTAAGGTGAAAAGTTGTATGTGTCCCGCGAGAGAAAAGTTATTTCCATCTCGTACCTTGGAATCCCTCGCGACGCTCAGGATTCTAATGTAAATTCTAACTCGCTAACGCTCGTGATTCAATTATGAGAATCCTTCGCTTACTCGGGATTCAAAATTAGCACTCGCTTGGAAAACCAAATTTCCTCTCTACTTGAACAAATAACTATTCCAAATCTAATTCGTTGGTTTTTTCAGGCAACAAGCGCTAACGACATTTTTGCCGTGTAATTGCATTTTTAATGTTAAAATAGGTGGCAAACAAGCGTTTGGCCCGCCTGATGGCAAGCGGCCACCATAACCTATAGCAGCTATACTCTAAGTGTGTTCCGCGGAACCCTAGGGTTCCGTGATACCTCTGTCGGGGTTCCGCAAGAATTTAGAAATAAAAAAATCAAAACACCTCTCTCTGGTCGCTCCGCGGCTGTGCGGACTCCGCGGCCGCGCGGAGACAAAACGCTATGAATGTTATTTATTTATTTATTTGTATTTGTATAAGCTTGTGTTACATTAGCTGGTACAATATCTCATAAGTTTGGTCTCAACAATTTTATACTTGTACAACGCGTTCGCTCTAAGTTTGCCGGTCTGTGGAATGCGCGTACCCTCCCCCACGTGACAACAAAACTTATAATGTGTCATAGTTTTACCCAAATATCTAACGTACACAATTTTTATTGTTACAATTAAATAAAAAATTTCGAACGTCATACACTCATACCTATCGCCAGCGGCAAACTTAAAACGAGCGGGTAGGTATACTTGTAAGCGCTCAGTCTCTTTGATAAAAGCCGCCTCTGAATTAGACGCTATAGTTGTCAACTAGCGACTTTCGTCTCTAACTTCAAAGGATAAAGTCGATATTGTTTACAACGCTATTTTTAAATTTCTGTTTTTATTTTTGCTTTTTGTTTATCAAAGGTGCCGACTCGAGTATTTTCGAGAATATTTGAGATCGAGTCTAGGACTAAGTATAAAAGCGGCGATCGCGCGTTGGCGTCGTCAGTTGATGATTAGCGTTCGGAGCGATAAGTTACTACCTACTTACAAGCTCGCTAGC